GCATTTTTTCTAATATAAAATTAGTGTAACTACCATTGTTATAAGCATTATCTTAGTAGTATTAGTATTAGAAGTAGCAATAGCAGTAGTAGTAGTTGTAGTAGTTGTAGTTGTAGTAGTAGTAGTAGTAGTAGTAGTAGTAGTAGTAGTAGTAGTAGTAGTAGCAGTAGTAGCACATAACACAGCAAAATAATGAAAATAATAGAATCAAAATCCAATACGTTTACGATTTCGCAACGAATTACATATTTAATAAATTTTAATTGATGTTTTTTAATTAGTCGCAATGAAATCAAATTGAGAATTTTTTTAATTTTTGAAAAAGTATCTTTATTAATTTTATGATACTACTTTGTTCAATAAGATACTGTTTGATACATATAACTAGAATAAATATAACGGCCTTCGCTCATTTTCAACGATCGAACAAGGAGCTTACTTTGGGAGGGATTTGGAGGGTGATTTTTTATCGTTCGAGTCAAAAGTAATGATCGTTACTAATTTCGGAATATTGCTTTTGTTTAAAATGGTAAAATTTTAATTTTTTTAAATTGTTATTCAATGTGGTAATTAAATACTTTTTTTTGGTATCAATTTAAAAAAATAAAATCGACATTACCAAAAATAATTACAAGTTGAAAAAATTGAGATTCTTTGCATATCCCTGCTTCAACCCTTAAGAAAGTGTTGTACATTGGTAAATAGGCCTCCCCTTGAACCAAACCACGTTTAAAGATGAATTTGTTTTTGATTTATTCTTCGGCAGAATGAAATCGAGTTCTTTGATGGAATTTGTCAACTGTTTATTGTAGCAGTTAATTATATCAAAACGGATTTGTTCATGGGATCTTAAATTGCATTATTATCGCCTGACGTTACTTGAATTCATCAATTTGAATAATTTTTTTTTTATAAAAATATTAAAAAATAAGATATGTAGGTTATAACTGGAGTGATGATGAAAGCAATGTAACATAATGATCACCATCATCGTCATCATCACCATTACGTAATTTATTAATTAGTTCTTTTGAATGTTTTAACGAACGTGAAATAGCGTGCTAATATGTGGAATCTTAATGCCCTCTTCTTCGCAGAGCCGTTCGTTTGATCTCGTGTTTTGAAAGTTGTGGTTTTTGCAATATATTGTGTTTGTGTTTGTGTGTGTTTGTGTGTGCGTGTATGTGTGTGTATGTGTGTGTGTGTGTGTGTGTGTGTGTGTGTGTGTGTGTGTGTGTGTGTGTGTGTGTGTGTGTGTGTGTGTGTGTGGAATATATTTCAATGGATTAAATTTATTTGTATACCTGTGTGATGATCAAACAACAGTATTTTATTCATGTTGTAATTTTACTTTACAATCATATTTAAAAAGTTGCATGCTGTTGAGACGAGCAGCCGTGTAACTTACATGTGTTAGTTTGGATTTTGAAAATTTAAGATCAGTAAAATTTTGTTCAGTCCCACCCGGGTTTACATATATTGTTAAGGCGCTACTAACCCTGGCTTATTTGCATGTTTGGTAATGTTAAATACGTTTGATCAGTAATGGTTTTCTAATGTTAGTTTCAGTTTGTGTTAATATATTAAAGTATGCTTTACAAACACTGTTACATATCAATATTAAACATTGTTACATTTCAATATTAGTTAGAGAGAGAGAATGAGAAAGAGAGAGAGAGGGAGAGAGAGAGAGATAGTATGACTAAGAAAGAAGAAGTAATATAACGTCCTTGCATGTGTCAGTATAGGATGAATTTTTTCGTTTGAATTTTAAAAACTTTTCACTTTCAAATTAGAATAAAAAGTTTTAAAAATTTGCAATCGGGTCAACCCCATAACATTCTTTTTTTTTTAAATACGTTACTATATATACTTTCGTTTCAAAGATCCTGATGTTTTGAATGCAATTTTTGACTAATGCATAAAAAATCCACACCATATCTTTACATTTCTTTCATTCATCCAATTATAACACTATAGATTTCTTTGATGCTCGAAACCTAAGTGTCAAGGTCGAACATTAAACGGTTGGGCTCCAATCAGCACGTGTTAATTTGGTGGTCATCTCTGTCCTTGAAATAATTGATGACTCGTTTGCTACTCGTTTTGAATGTTACGAAAATGGTATTTAATTTTTTTTTTCATAAGTCTGAATTGTAAGAATCCAACAAATTTTCATGATAATAAAGTTTATCAAAATTTAATTGACCAAATTATGTTAGATTAATATATAACACTTCCCTGAGTGTATTTGATGGATTCATTTACTGACGGATTGAACAAAATCATTGGAAAGCAACTCTGTTCTGACTCTGAAATGATTCCTAATTGCAGGGCTGATGTCTTAATTTCAAGTTTGAAATATCAACTAAACAAATATAAACAATCGAATGAATGTGTGCACACGTAAGAGAGGAACGTGATTTCAAAATGGTTTCATGGAAAATAATAATGTCTGTTGCCATCAGAAAAGGTTGTAAAGTAAGGAAAGCTCAAAAAATGAATGTTGTAAATAATGAAGATAAATAATAAAATAAATATAACTCATAAGTGAAAGTAAACACGCTAACCAAGCATATTTTATCATCAACAGACATCTATACAACATCAAAACAACACACAACAACAAACAACAACAAAGGAACCAGTGCAACAACAATAAAACCCCAGCGAACCAACTCAACGACCGTGAATAACAACAAACAATCGATCAATTTATTGAACTTGCATAACATCAAAAAAGGCGATGATGATAACTATGGAATATGGTTATGATGCGGGGAATACTACTAATACAGCTGCTATTAGTACTACTATTACTACTACTACTACTTCTACTACTACTACTACTACTACTACTACTACTACTACTAAAACTGCTACCAATACTTCTGCTACGATTGCTACTACTAATACAACTAATACGACTTCCCCACCAACATCATCATCGTTCACCAAGTTAGCTCAGTTGGTAAAAGTGCTATGTCACGCTCTGCTGTTACTCAATGGCATGATTCGAATACTGTCTATCCGAAACTCAAAGACCACCATACTCGTATGATGCCGTGCTTGCGCGCGCATACGCATTGTGTGTACGTGGATTGCACGGTGTGGGTAGTATAGAGCCTTTGCGGCACGTAAGTTTAATTACAACTATTGAATTTCATGCACACAGCTCTGTGATATACGAAAAAGTTATGACTGCAGGCAAAAAATTTTATTTTATTATCTCAGAATTTCAAAACTGCCACCAAAACTAGAAATTTAAAATTACAGTCATCTAATCAAAAATGATGTCATTTAAAAAATTTTTGAAAGATTTGTTCAAAAAGTAAATTTTTAACAACTATTTAGTCAAATAAATTATTAATTTCGTCAAAAATGAATTCAAATTTCAGTGATTTCAATGCTGGAATCGATCTGTCCATAGCACTTGTAGCTGGATCAGCTTTAACCTGAAGCTGGTAGAATAAAAAAATTAACTTTTAATATTTCAATTATGATTAGTCGTCGTTGTGAATTAGTATAATTTCTCCTAATAAGAAAAATGTTGAAACTGAGTTTCAGTTAAATTTTAAAAAGATAAACTAATCTAATTTCAAAGACATTACTTACATAATAAAACGCATAATCATCATCATCATCATCTTAACAATCATAGCATCATCGTCAACATCGTCAAATTAATCGTCATAATTATTTCATTGCAACAACGCTTCATCATTATCATTATATTCCTTATCATCATCGTCATAGTCATCATCATTGTCATCATCATCGTCATCATCAACTTCGTCATCACCATCGTCGTCAATCACATAGACAACCTCAACAGCATCCTCACGCACACATGCACACACGCGCACACATACACGCACGCACATACACACACACACGCACATGCACTGCCATGAAATGATATACGATAGAATTAAGAAGTGTGCCACCATTGTTTGACCTGACCTAATTAAGTCATTTAACTGGCTTAGATGAAAACATTAGACCTGTGTGTGTGTGACTGTTTGTGTGTGTGTATTGCTGTGTGTGTGTCTGTGAAGACTTATATGTGGTTGTTTGTATATGTGAGAGGATATATACGTGTAAATCTAATACAGTTAAACAGAAATGTGAAGAGAGAAAAGAGAGAAAAAGAGAAATATAAAGAGAGAGAAGGAGAGAGAGAGAGAGATAGAAAAAAAATGAGTGAAGATAAAATGAAGAACGAAAAATGTGTGTTTGACCATGTGTATTCATTTACTGATATTGATATATGATTGTTCACATTGGTCAATATGAGTTGAGGTATGTACGTGTGTGCGTGTGTAGATATATGTCTGTGTGGATGTGTGTGTGTTTGTGTAATTGTGCGAATGTGCGTGCGTGAACATATGGTTGTGTGTGTGTGTAAACGTCTGCATGTACATGTGTGTGCGTGTGTGTTTGTGCGTGTGTGTGTGTGTATGAGTGTGTGTTTGTGCGTGTGTGTGTTTATGTGTGTGTGTTTATGTGTGTGTGTGCAACTTTGTATGAACATTTGTGCAAAAGTTTGTGCAATTTGATGTAACATGTGGCTGCTCTGCGTTGTGTGGGGTCTGTATTTCTGAAAATTAGTTTGTGTTTGAATGACAAATGATTGAAAGAATGAGTAATTACAAAATTGAATGAGTAAAAGATAGAGTGAAAGAGGAATGGATGATTTGATAGAGTTTTTGAATTAAACATTATAACACAAAAAATATTCCGTGTATTGTGGTTTAGTTTGAAAAATGTTATACAAAAATTATTTTCACAAACGTTTATTTGATGCGTGCTTTAATAATATAGTATTTAATTCATTTTTCAAATCATACAATATTTTATTGAAAATAAATAATGTTGTTTTTAATTTTTTCATTTTCGGATTTAAATAAAAATGATTTTTCAATGTTTCCACAAATGCCAATGAAAGCGTATCGTTTAAGAATTCCCATTCAAGCAAACCAATTGATCTGTCCGGCTTGATGACTCCATATAGAACTTCTCGTCTCTTCAACATCACGAAGTACGTGGTGCAAACTGGAGATGTCACCAACCAATCAGTAACCAGAGAATCAGGTCAGAGTCACCCGGATGAGAAAATTCGACTTTTTCATCGACATACTTTTCGTCAGTCCTTATCATGATCATCCTCGTTTCGCTAGCACGCCAGACGTGCTCTGATTGATGTCTCAAACAGTTTGAATGATAAAAATCTCCATCAGCAACAAAACGCACGACATCAACTTAGACTTAAACAATCGGTAGTTTTCGTATCAATCGTCACTTGAGAACATTCATGGAACTGATCTGATGGGTGTAGAGAACAGTAAATACGTCAGCGTCAGTGGGAGACCTGGTCCCGAACGCAACAACGTTTGCTAGCAACAACTACGACAACTCTCAAACAGAAAATATTAGCTAATTAACTTCTAGCTTAGAAACGTCAAAACTGCTGCTGGAATTATAACCGATCAAAAACAAGTGAGTCATTGTCAAATTTCAGTAAAGAGAATTGTGACAACTTTAAGCCTATAATGGATAACCGAAACCTCTATATTGGAAAAATTGATGGTGATAAAACGACCAAACTTAATTTCAGCAACAACAACAGAAGTTTAGACTAAAGCGAAAATTTCATCAACAACAGCAGTCACGACAACAACTAAAAATTTCTTAACGGTAAAACCACCAACAACATGAAAACATTAAATCAAGCAAGTTGAACCAAAACTGCCTGATCCAGTACAATTCAAGCATTTCATAAAAAACGTTAATTTTGCCATCATAAACAGCAGAAACAAGTTTATTCAACTAAACAGTTGGATCAACAACGTCCTCAACAAAACAGAAATACTGACAACTTTCGTGAAACATCAATACCAGGATTATCAAAAACCTCAATTAAATCTTCGACATCACCTACAATAACATCAAAAACGAGTGTGCTAACATAAACGACAACATCAACTGCAACAACAACAACGTCAGTTGTGACATCATTAACAACAAGAACAACAAAATTAACATTAAAAAACGAAAACATTAACACTATCAACAACTACAAAATCAACAACAACTACAACAACAACATAAACAACAACATAAACAACAACAACAATCAATCATCGGTACGTAGGAAAAGAGTGTCAAAGGAAACAAAACTCTTCTGCAAATTCTTACAAAACGGAAGTCAACCACGTGCTTATCACATTTAGGTCACGTCTAGGTCACGTCTAGGTCACGTGTTTGCGACAGCATTAGGGTACGTGTTAAACAAACCGGGTCGCTTAGAATATCTGGGTCAGGTCATAAGCGCACGTGTCATTCACCACTTTGAAATAAAATTGATTTCGATGGCCTTCCGATGTAATTGTTCTGTTATAAAGGGCTATGTATGTGTGAGTGTGCTGTTTATATACGTTCAATGTACAGTGTCTTTTTACTATTAGACATTAATTCGATTTTTTTTAAATTTCTGTTTAAATAAAATATTTTATGTGTTATATCTTTGGATAAAAAACAAAAACGTTTTCTGTAGGAAAAATTTGATTGAAAGACTAGCACCAAATCAGAAATTTTAAAGTTATAGTGACAAATCTGAAACGGTGTCGTTCATTAATATTTCGAAAGAATTGTTCAAAAAGTAACATTTTGACAAATATTTAGTCAAATAAGTTAATAATTTGGACAAAAACTCAATGAAGTTTTAATGATTTCAACACTGAAATCGATCTAATCAATACACGTAGCTAGCTCTGCATCAAAATAGAGATTAGAGTCGCTCTGACGAAAGTGGCAAGAACCACACTGAGTGCATTTGATCTATTTTCTTATATCTTCAACTTGGAAATATATAATTCTGCCAAAATAGTCCGGCTGGCATGTTCGTGTCGCAGTCGTAAGGTTCTGGTGATTCAGGGAAAAGAAAAATTACATTACGGACAGACATAACATAACAAAGTTTACCTCTCACACACAATCGATGTTCAGATCTCGATGATATATACTTAAAGAGCCAGCAAAACATCGGTTAGGGAAGCATGGAGTGATGTTCAGACATTGCGGACAGACGGAGAAACACTCAAACTTGAAATTTTTTGACATTTCAAAATGAAATGAGATTGAGTTAAACAGTTAGTGGTTAAGTGGCCTAGATTTTGTTATAAACATTTTGATCCAAATTATTCTAAGATAATAATAATAATAATAAATAATGGGAACATCTTTTATTTTTCACCATAAAAAACAAACAATGATAAAAATATATATATATATATAGATAAATATATATATATATATATATATAATGATAAAATTTTTAAAAATTGTATAAAATAATATTAAAGGTTAAGACAATTTTGCTCATTGTGAAGTTAAGTGCAGAACGGTGAAATATATTTAATTAGCATCATAACTTGTTCCTATCACAGTAAATGTCATACGATAATCTTATAACAGTGTTTATCAATTTATCATTAAATGATAGCGCCCATGGAACTTTAAACAGTGAAAATTAAAATTATTGTAAAAACCAATAGGCGTTATTTCGAATGAGTTTATAACTATTGAACAATGTTCATAGTCTTTATTTAATGAATTTAAGATTAAAATTATGAAAATTAAACTACTAAATTTAAAATATAAATAATAATAATAATAATAATAATAATAATAATGAATAATAATAATGAAGATTTTTATTTTCCAGTAAGATTATTAATAACATGTAACACGTGTGGCAATTCAAACCCAGCCGCTGCTAAAACGAGACCAGACGTCTTAACAACAATTGCTTTTTGCATTTTTAATTTTATTTTATAATTGCGGTAGTAGAGATTGGCGTTGATATTTTCAATGCCTTAGTAGCCAGATAACCTCACTAAAAATTCTAATTTTTCCTTGACAAACAATTTTTCTCTAGTAGCAATACCGAAAATTATCAACATTATTTGCAGTATCTTCTGTAGTTATAGCAACAACTACTCTTTGCAAGTGCACTTAAGAGATTGACCTTTAAATTGACCTATATGCGGAGCTATGAAATGAAGGGTCGACCAGAGGGGTCAAAAGGGGCAAAACATTACCCACTGTCGTAAAATGGTTTTTAGATATGGCCTTGTTTATTTGCTTTGAAACGAGTTGGGTGAAAAAGTTAAAGGCTTATGTTTGAGTAACTGTACACACCACACACACACACACACACACACACACACACACACACACACACACACAAACACACACACACACACACATACATACACACACATTCACACACACATGTATACACACACAGATAGAGAGAGAGAAAGAAAGAGAGAGAGAGAGAGAAAGAAAGAAAGAAAAAAGAGAGAGAGGAGAGAGAGATGTACAATGCTCAACAACACACACACACACACACTTTCATAGAAACTCACAAATACACAAACATAAAACACACACACACAACATTATATTTTAGTTACGTACACTTGAACAAGCAAACAACAAATACACGCATTGTTCATTGAATCAACTAAATACATTACATAAAGACTTTTGAATGAGTTACGGTCCAGTGAACCATGCATTCGACTCTGTTTCATTGTTACAACATCAATAACATTAATAAGAATGTCTACAATAACATAAACAACAACATGAATAACGTTAATAAAAATGTCTACAATAACAACAACTAAAATAACATTTAATAAAAATATGTACAATAACATAAACAACAGCATGAATAACATTTAATAAAAATATCTAAAATAACATTAACAACAACATGAATAACATTGATAGAAACATCTTCAAAACAACATCTATAACAATTGATGTTATTATATAAACTTTTTTTTCTCTCAAATTAAGTCCTTATTTTTTTCAATTACTTCGTCATTATTTACTGTCTTTGATCTTTCGAGTGTTGACGTCACGAGAATTTTTTTTCAAGAGGATTAGTGACGATTGCGATCCTTTGGTGTTGGTCGTCATCGTCGTCGTTGTTGTGGCGGCCGCAATGACTTCATGGCCACACTAACAGAGTTATGTAAGCAGTGGTAGTAGTTGTAGTAGTAGTAATAGAAGTAGTAGTAGTAGTTGTTGTAAGTAGTAATAGTAGTAGTTGTAGTAGTAGTAGTTGTTGTAAGTAGTAGTAGTAATAGCAGTAGTTGTTGTTGTAAAAGTAGTAGTAGTAGTAGTAGTAGTAGTAGTAGTAGTAGTAGTAGTAGTAGTAGTAGTAGTAGTAGTAGTAGTAGTAGTAGTAGTAGTAGTAGTAGTAGCAGCAGCAGCAGTCTCCGCGTCATAATCATATTCCATAGCCATCATCTTCTGCTTTGATGTTATGCAAGTTAAATAATTGATCGATTGTTTGTCTTTATTCACGTGTGTTAAGTTGGCTGGCTGGGTCTTTATTGTTGTTGTTGTTGTTTGTGTTGTTGTTGTTTTTATTGTTGTGATGTTGTGGTTGTTGTTTTTTGATGACGTCATTTTTTTTATGTTGTTCTTAACCATTTTCAGCTGTTCCTATTTTAATTTTTCATGAGTTTCATACCAAATTAGTTTACTTTTGATGTCATTGTTGTTGTTGTTGTATTTGTTTTTAGATTTTTTTACATATAAAATGTTTCTAATTTAATAAAATAAAACAAATAAAACAAATAAAATATAAATCATTATTATTAAGTAGAACGATTAATTAAAAATTTAAAATTTTTCTAAACTCTATTAATTTACAAATAAGATATTCCTCAATTCAAGGGCCATCAAATCGTAGAGCAGTTCATAGGTGGTGACTAATTAACTCTTTAAGGAGGTCACACCCCACGTGTTTTAAGTATAGGTCAGATTCTATTTAATGTTTCAACCTTGACATGTCTTAACTAATAAGGAAGTAAAAGAATTGGCAATAATGGAAGTTATTTAACCAACGTAATGTTATTTTTCTAAAATTAGTTTCTGTATGATTTGCGTAAAACTCAACTTATTATTTTTTTTTATTACAAAACACTAAATTAGTAAGTTTTATAAAATTTTATTTAATTCCAAAAACAAACAAATAGTTGAAAGTTGAAGATAAACTAATCAAGAAGAAAAGAAAAATAAATTTAAATTCTGTTATTTGCCTAAAGGCGTTCTTAGATCACAAACTCATCGAGAAATATTCAAGTGTATGTTCAGTTCACTGAACGCTATTCAGTATATATTGTAAATTGACGATGATGCCAATATCTACGTTTAAAACATGTGTCTCTGTATGTACTTTTTGATGCGTACCTGAGTATGTGTGTGTTTGCAGTGTGTGTATTTGCAGTGTGTGTATTTGCAGTGTATGTATGCGTGTGTGTGTGTGTGTCTATGCATGCGTGTGTGTGTGTGTGTGTGTGTGTGTGTTAAAAGTTTATATCTTTACCTTATAACCAAACTACAAAAGACTATTTGCAAACAACATACATGTTGTTTAGCATACTAAACCAAACATCTTAACACAAATTTGAAAGCCAACCATTATATACATTATTATATATTGAGTTATATACATTAAATTCATCCCATTAAACTTAGGCATCACACGTAAACTTACATAGTTTCATTCTCTTTCAAAATTTACACTTACGGATACAAATTAATATGAACAAAGCATTAATTTATAAGCAATGTGAGAAGATAAATAGAAATACCCTCACTCGGGTACAAATCACACACATACAATTTAACACACACACACACACACAAACAAGCCCAACAAACATAATCAAACACATAGAAAGTGTGTGGTGTGTGTGTGTGTGTGGTGTGTGTGTGTGTGGTGTGGTGTGTGTAAAAAAAAACAGAAAACGCATACAGATAAAAGAGAAGGAAAACAGCAATAGAAAGAAAAAACAAAAAAAAGAAAGAAAGAGAGAGAGAGGAGAGAGAGACAAAACTTTTCAACGTGCACCCAAACAAAGACATTTACATGCACATGTTCAAACACATCGTACCTATAGAGACAGACATAAAGAACCACAAATCTACTTATATTAACAGGTCCACCTAGTTCTCGTCACAACATACAAAGGAGTTAATTTAATAAATTATGCAATAATACATGCGGTGATAGTGTTAAAATTGATTACGAATCTTGTTATTTGAATCATTTATCATCAACATTATCAGTTTCATCATCTTCATTCATCTTTGTAGGTATATATAAACATAATTGCTATCGTTGTTATCGTCAATATAATTTTTATTATCATTATAATTATTAATAGTATAAATTTAATCGTCATAATAACTGTTAATAATATAATTGTTGTTGTTGTTGTTACAACACAGCAAGCTGTACCAATGCACCGTTTTTGTTTTTGAGACTTTCGTTGAATAGCTTCATTTTTCTCACAAGGTCTCTATTTCGATGTCTGTTTTGTGGTTGTTGTTGTTGTTGTGGTTGATGCAGTTGTTGTTGTTGATGATCATATTGTTGTTGATGTTGTTGTTGTTGTTGATGTTGTTGTCTTTTTTGGAGCTGAGGTTGTCTTTGATGATTTTTTTGAAGCTCATCTTCACGTAAGGATTGTTGATTTTGTTGGAGTTCTGGTGTCTTGAACGCCAGAATTTGTTCACTTTCGTAAATCGTTGACGTGTTTGTAGCTTTATCGTTTGTTTGGATGTTGTTGTTTTTGTTGCAGGGGTTGTTTTTAAATAATTTGACGTCGTTATTGTCGTTGTTTGAAAAGTTGTTGGTCGATGGTTTGCAGTGCTGCTTGCTTCGTTTCTTCAAACTGCCGACAACTTTTAACATTCTGGGTAGGTAGAGTTGCTTTGATATGCAACAGACTGGGGCGTGTTTGTTGTCGACTGAGTTGTTGTTGTTAGTGGTGTTGTATGGTATGTTGTTGTTGTTTGGAGTGTTTTTGCTGCTACTGTTGTTGGCTTTGTGTGGAATGTTGTTTGTGTTGCTTGCATCGTTCACTTTGTCACAAAAATTTCCAGTTTTTTTTAGGCATTGGTCTGAAGCGTTGATGTCTAATTTAAGAGATTTCAAATCCCTCAGAGCTTTTTGCCTCTTCATCAGAACTGCATGATTTCGCCTGTGTACCACGATGTTCCTTTCAAAATTTTTTTCATCTGGATCTTCATTTTCATCAGCGCTATCAAATTCATTTTTTGAAATTCTCAAGTAAACGTTGTTAATTCCTTGCTGTCGTTTTACTTCAAGTGAATTACCATTGTTTTTGTGGACATTTTTGCAATTTCTGTCAAGATTTCTATGATGATTTGGCGAGAAATTAGTTTCAAAATCTTGCTGATTTTGTTGCGATAAGTTCGAGTTTGGTTCGCTACTCTGTTCGAGAACGGTTGCGAAACCGTTGATGGCGACCGTGCTATGAAGGGGATAGTCGAAGGTGCTGTTGGCTGCTCCGTAGTTGAGCGTTGGCTGATCGTGCGTGTTGTATGCTTCGCTACTGCTGATCTGACTGATGTTGTGGATGTTGATGATGTTGTCGTTGTTAGTGTTGATGTTGTTGCAGATAATGTTGTTAAAATTGTGGTTGTTGAGGTTGTTGTCAACATTCTTGATGTTGTCTTTGTTGATTATATTGTCATTCGTGTTAGCATGAATGTTACTCGCGATTATCCTTTCGTGTCTGTTGGCAACATTTTGTTTGTATGAAGTATTAGTTTTTGTTTTGTTGACGATTGTGACGTTGTTGTTGTTGCTGTTGTTGTTGTAGCTAGACAAGTTTACGCCTTCAATGTTTTTCAATGTTACATCTGTTTTGTTTGGCGATTCGATGTTCGCATTGTTGTTGGTTGCGTTGTTGATGGCTGTGTAGTTGTCGGTTGCTTGGTTGCTGGTTGCCTGGCTATTGGTTGCGTGGTTGCTGGTTGCCTGGTTGCAGTCTTTTGCCATGTTAACGTTGTTGCACGCTTTTTTTTCGTTGCCAATTGGAGTGACAACCCATAATGAAGAATTTACTGCAAATTTTTTCTTAGCTGGTGTGTCATTGCATATGTTGTTGTCATCGTTGGTGTTTGTTTTGTTGTGATTGCTACGGATGTACACATTATCGTTGATGTTGTTAGTTTTGTTTTTGGCGATTTTTTCCATGTTGTTGACGGTTTTGAGAGGTGTAAGTGAGGTAGGAATGTCGTCGAAAAACCTCTGCCTCTTAGTGCGTAGTTGCGTTTTGTTCTTATTAATGTTGAAGAAGCTATCATCAACTGTCTCAACATTTGTTTCATTAAACAAGCAGTCGAAATAGTTTCGTTTTTGTTTGGCATTTACACTTTCTGCAGATTTTTTTTCTAACTTTACTTCTTCTTCTACTAAATTTGGTGGAGATTTTCCAGTCAGGTTGACATTTTGTTCATTTTCCTCGTTCACTGGTGACATTCTGGAAAAAATTTGTCTTTTATACGAGTCCATGTTGATTCGCTCGTGCAATAGCCCAACTGTAATATACCATTTTAAAAGATTAATTAAAAAAAAAATAAAATAAAAGTTTTAGACTTGAAAAACTGAAATAAAACACTTGAAAAATATGACATCTAGTGAAAATGAAAAGAATTCCTACTCTGACGACTCCACACGTGATATGATATCAAAAAATTAAATTCGCAACAAAATTTATGCTCTATCAAGAAATTGTTATATTAAAATGTATTAGAAAAGATAATTTCGCAATGGCAATCGCCGAGTGAAAATGTTTTGAAAATATCGAATCATTTTCCAGAAATATATACCACTACATCTTAACTCTGATTGGACGATCAATTTTTATGGGCGTGATTGTGTTCAGTGAATGGCTAGTATTAACACGTGTGTGTGTGTGTGTGTGTGTTTGTGTGTGGTTTGCATAGAAACTATTCAAGTGTGTGTGTGTTTGTGTGTGAGTGTTGTGCACATATGTGTGTAAATGATTTTATATGTGTAAATGTGCGTGTGTGTTTGTGTAAATGTGTGTGCCTGAATGTGTGGGTGTGCATGGGTGGGATGTGGCTTGTATGTGTGTTTGTGTAAATGTGTTTGAGTGTGAGTGTGTTACTTTATGCGTGGTTTTGGTGTGTGTTAGAGTGCGGGCTTTTATTTAAACCATTTGGTTTTATTTTTTTTGGTACTCTGCATTTTGTCATGGGGCATAATTTGTATGTTATTGTTTAAAAAAAAATCCAACAAATACAAATACACATACCACTAACTGATAGATGAGTCATTAATATATACGTCCACCAATCAACAAGATTGGCATTTTTTAAAAAAAAGTCAAACATGTCTTCACCAGGGTAGGTGCATGTATCTAAAAAACATTCTTCATACATGAATAGATGCTTTAAACCACCTCAGTAGTTTATAAGGGGTAAAAGGGGGTAAATTCAAAATTTTCCAACTCGGGACTGCCCACCCATATTTTGGAGTTCTAGTGAAAGCTATTTCTATAGCGTACTAAATGTTCTTACCGGTATTTTGTATCAATATTAAAAGGAAAACAATATCCAAATTTGTTCACCTAAACTAAAATTAAGTATACTTTTAGTATTTACTATATACACATTTACAAACAGGCAAAATCATTTATCTACACAGACAAACATACAATCCAGCGTTCAAAAATGTAAACCTTTTTACATGAAAATTTGTGCAGGCAGACAAACACGCATATAGAGGAATATAAATAACTTTACCCATATGGTTAAATATATAAATAAATATATATATATATATATATATATACAAAGAGAGAGAGAAAGAGAGAGAGACAAACATTTACCTTGTTATGTAAATCGCCAAATTAACACTTTGTAAGTGAATAAATAAAAATAAAAGAACAATAGTATGGACAGATGGATGAATGAATGAATGAATGAATGAATGAATGAATGAGCCAAAAATTTAGTCAATCTATCGGTTAATAAGTGAATGAGTGCAAGAATGAGTTGTGAACTATTAAGGTGAATGAAGGTAGGAAGGATTAATTGAATTGATGAACAAGTAGGTGAATAAATTAAAAAATAAATTAGTAAATGAATGAAAGAAATAAATTAATGAATGAGTAATAAATCAACGAATGAATGAATGAACCAACAAATCCAAGAATGAAACAACGAAGGAATAAACGAACAGATGAAGAAACTAATATTAGCCTGATGACAAATTACTCAATTGTCATGTTAATTTACACTATACAATGATCATCAATTGTTTAACACTGATGACAGCTACGATGATGATGAGGATGATGAGGATGATGAAGAAGACGATGATGACGACGATTATGGTGGTTATAGAATTAATAATGTTGGTATTAATAATCGCTCTATTGATTGAGGATGGGTAGCATTCTTCAACACTTCCATAGTTGTAAAGATGTCTTAATAAGATTCTGGCTTTGGCAACATCATCACAATCGTCATCATCATAAACAGCATCATCATTGTTGTTGTTCTTATCGTTGATGTAGTTGTTGATGTTGTTGTTGTTATTGTTTTTGTTGTTGTTACTGCTGCTACTGTTGTCGTTGTTTTTGTTGTTGAAAAGTATACAAACGCCGAACTTAGGTGCGAAGTGTGGCTGTACTTAGCATGATAGGGGCGAGTAAGGTCACATGTACTGATAATTTGCTTTTGAATGAAGGCGTTCGTGCGGGCACATGTTCAGGTGATTAATGAGTCAAAATTAACATTACAAATTAATTTAATGTCAATATTATTGTCATCACCATCTTCGTCGTCGTCATCATCATCAAAATCATCGTCATCAGCATCAGCATCGTCACCATTTCGCTATAATTATCATCATCAACACCACCACCATCATCATCATCATCATCTTTGTTGTCAGCGGTTGTTGGCGATACTCACAACAGATATAAAATAATAATAATAACAATAATAATAATAATAATTTTTTATTGACCAAAAAGATAAAATGAAAATGAAATCAATCGAAAATTATTACTAATATATAAAATATAAATAAATAAAATGTAAATAATTTATAAAATCAATAAAAAAATTTTACAAAAAGAAAATCCATTAAAATGCATTTAATAATAAAAACAGTAATATTAATAATAAAAATAATAATAAAATAATGATTCAAGGTGACCAGCCGAAACAAAACAAGCCAGAAATATGAAACGTCTTGAAAAGTTTTAATAAACATCAACACCGTTGGATAGCCTGGCTGGAAATAATAATGGCAACATGATTAACAGCAATAATAATAAGAAGAAGAAGAAGAAAAAAAGAATAATAATAACAATATGATCATGGTGATAATGATGATGAAGAAGAAGAAGAAGAAGAAGAAAAAGAAGATGAAGAAGAAGGAGAAGAGGAAAAAGAAAAAGAAGATGAAGAAGAAGGAGAAGAGGAAGAAGAAAAAGAAGAAGGAGAAGAGGAAGAAAAAGAAGGAGAAGAAGAAGGAGAAGAGGAAGAAAAAGAAGGAGAAGAGGAAGAAGAAGAAGAAGATGATGATGAAGAAGAAGAAAAAGAAGAAGGAGAAGAAGATGATGATAATATCGATAATGATGATGACGATGATGTTAATGTAAGTATGATATTATCATATATAAGCATCGTAATTTATTGCCTTTAACTAATAAATAAATTAAACGCTGTTTTGTAGTAAACAGAATTCTCTGCCCACAAAGGACTAGCCCATGAGCCAAGCACAATAAATTTTATTCATTCACATTGAAGGTTTAATACGGTAATCAAGAAATCAGATTTTATTGCTCGGCTTTTCATAAACATTCTATTGTTATAAACATGTATGTGTGTGTTTACGTGCGTGTGTGTGTGTGTGTGTGTGTGTGTGTGTGTGTGTGTGTGTGTGCTTACTTATCGTGATCATTTTCACCTCTTCATTAAACGTGACGGAATTATTATTATTGTCATGTGCGTTGTTAAACGTCACCATCAGTTAGTCCATCACTCTCACGATCATCATCACCACCACCATCATCATCATCACCATCATCATCATCTAGAACAACAGCATTATCACTATCATCATTAGCGTTCATGAGAACTTGAATGTGCGCCATATGTAAACTCTACGTTTAATAATAATAATCCTCACCATCATCACCATCACCACCAACATCCCTATCATCATTATCACAATCGGTACCACCATCATCATCTTTATCATCATCAGCACCGCCATCATCACAAGCACGTAGGAAACACACGCAGACATAATGCGTAACTAATTGCGTTATGATTATAACATTCCGTCACTTTGATATTCTTGCTCAGACGATGACGATGATGATGATGATGATGGTGATGATGATAATGCTGGTGATGATGATGGTGATGATGATGATGATAACATTAACGAAGAGGAAAAAGAATAAGATAGTGATGATGATGATGAAGAAGAAATAAAAGATGATGATGATGGAAAAAAAATAGAAGGAGATGATGATGATGATGACGATGATGACGATGATGATAATAATAACGAAGAGGAAGAAGAATATGATGGTGATGACTACAACGATGACGATGTATGAGTATGGAAAATATATATTGATGATGATGAAGTTGACGAACGGATTATGACTATTATAACATAAAATAAATAATTTAATAAATCAAATAATAATAATGATCAAATGATCATTATCATCATTTTTATCATCATCATCGTCATCATCGTCATCGTCATCATAACCACCATCAACATCATCAACCCTGCAGATTCTTATGATCTGACCTAATGAGGCATATAACGATATGTTGTATGTTTCAATGTTGTATGCAAGCAGGCAGTTTGTTTGTGCAGTGGTTTGTATGTTTGTTTGTTTGTTTGTATGTTTGTTTGTTTGTATGTATGCAGTGTTTGTACATTTGTATGTATGCAAAGTCTGTATGTTTTTTTGTAGGTTCGTTTGTATGTTTGTCTGTATGTATGTAGTGTTTGTACAATTGTATGTATGCAAAGTCTGTATGTTTTTTGTAGGTTCGTTTGTATGTTTGTCTGTATGTATGCAGTGTTTGTACAATTGTATGTATGCAAAGTCTGTATGTTTTTTGTAGGTTCGTTTGTATGTTTGTCTGTATGTATGCAGTGTTTGTATGCAGTGTTTGTACATTTGTATGTATGCAAAGTCTGTATGTTTTTTTTGTGCGTGTCTTTGCGTTCTTTCGATGATTGGGCGTTTCATTGTATACGTGTTTCCATGTATACAATGATTGTATGTGTTTATTAGATGACTTACTTTAGTAACTAACCGATTTTATCCCAAGAAATTTCATCAGCGAAATTTTGAAAAAATGTTTCACTTCTAGATAAGCATGGTTTACCCGACGTAAGATTACACCCTATAACGAGTAAAACCAGTTTAAATTAAAATAACACCAGATACAAAACTCATTTTTTATGTAGCTTGGTCTTGTAAAACCAACCCAAAGTAACTTTGCCGTATCAATCAACCCAAAGTAACTTTGCCGTGTCAATCAACCCAAAGTAACTTTGCCGTATCTACGTCAGGATTGTGGTTTGAGATTGTGAAACAAATTTTAATTGAATTCGACATCCAAGACAACGGCGATTTAGCCTCAAGTTTGGGATTTGGTTTGAACTTGTGACGACAAACTAACTAGACGGCCTTCAGATTTTGCGATTGTTTAAAGAAGGATGAAATATGAAAGCACGGACGCGATGGGATCAAGATAGATTTTTTTTTTTTTTTTGCCAGGTAAATGACTAAATAATCGTATGCTGATTCAAAAGTGGAAAAAGAACTATTTATATTTTAATAATAATCATAATAATAATAATAATAATATTAATTATTATTATTATCATAATTTTAAGCGGCTGCGGCAAATGTTATTTAATATGCGTGTGTCCTTTCATGTTTATTGATCGGATTATGTATTTCCTGTTATGGTCAGTGGTCAGTCTAGATGGTGGCAGTGGTGATGATGACGATTGTGATGATGATGATGATGATAAAGATGATGGTAGTGATGATGATAATGATGATGATAATGTGAAAATGTGTATCTATATGTGTGTAGGTGTGTGTGTTGGTGTGAGTTTCTACGTGTATGTGCGTGCGTGATGTGTGTGTGTGTGTGGGTGTGTGGGTGTGTGTGTGTGTGTGTGTGAGTTGATGTCCCAAGGAATTCTTTAATACAAAATGCATCGCCAAGAGGCCACTGTCATATCTAGTTTGTTTGGTTAATTCTTTTCTGAAGACAGTTTAGCTTATCTCCCGATTGCTCATTAAATGGTTGTTCCAGTTTTGTAGTTTACGTTAAAATGTCATTGTTCTCACTCCCTGTTAGTTAACCTGTAGAACTTTCTTGATTGTCTCCCAAGCTATTTGAAGCTATGAAATAACACAAATACATTCACACACACGCACACGCACGCACACACGCACATACACAGACGCACACACAAACGTAAAGTCTAACGCCACATACACATAAACACATTATATCATTAATATATTTGTCATCTTCATCATCGTCATTACCACCAACGTTGTCATCATCATCATTTTAACATCATTATTATCATCACCACCACCATCATCATCATCATTTCACCAT